CTCTCTCTCCTTCGTCCTTCGTACTCTCTCTCTCTCTCTCTCTCTCTCTCTCTCTCTCTCTCTCTCTCTCTCTCTAAAATACACAAATAAAAAGAATCCAGAAGAAAAATGTTTAGTATAAGATTTAAAATACAAGAACAATAACTTAAATATGTTTTACAGCAAATATAGTATACTAAAAAAAAAAAGAAAAAGCAAAAAATTTTGCTTGGATTTGATTAAAAAATTAAATTTGTATTTTTCACATAGTCGGATGTTGCGTTTACATCAGGCATCGACAAGTACAGCAATGGCAGATAGAAAAAGGCCGCGATCTCGTAGATAAAAAAGTTATCATAGCGACAACATCCTGTGGTATCCTCGCTTGCTTCGGTCTCGATATACTCGCTAATTTTCAAGAAGCTCGCGTAGTTGCTGCTCACATGGTGGGAGCAATGACTTTCTTCTCTGCCGGCACTCTCTATTTCTGTCTTCAGGTATACAAATATGAATCGTTACGTTTTACTGTAGATATTTCGATACTAAAGACAATTATTTATGATGTTGCTGTTATCTTTTACACAAAATTGATTGAATATTTTTAAAATAAATATCAAAATGATTTTCTTTCAATTTCTTAATACTAACGTACAAAGATTTTCATTATAGTTTCTATCATTTTTACTTTATTATTATATTTTTAGTACTTTATCGTATTATTTTGTTATTATATTTTTGTTTTAATTTTCTTCATGTTTCTTTTATTTGTAAAAATCTATTTAACATTCTAGACTAAATAAAATAATATAAATAATATAATACATAAATATAATAATATAATAAAATAATACATCATGATCAGCTTTATCATCTTTGTTTCAATAATTTTTTTAAAGAAACAAATGTACTCTAATTATAGATAATTCTTTTATATATCTTTATAAAATAATTATTATAATTTTTTAGACATATCTGAGTTACAAAATGGTACCTTCTGTGAACGGCATAATTGTTGTTTATGTGCGTGCAATTCTCTCAGCTCTCACATTGATATTGACAATTGCTACGATCATTCCTGGCTATATCTCGATGTTCGAATTCCAAGGTAAGTATACATATGCAATTAAATTTTTAATTTATACAAATTATATTGTGGCAACCTGCAACATTCTCTTAGATCATAATTCTTCATAGAAGTTCTTCATTATTAAGAAATTCTTCATTATTCGTTGAAAAATGTTTTAAATTTTAATTTTACCATAAGATCACATGTAAAACTAAACTAAAATAATTTAAATATTTTTGAGAATTTTAAATGATTAAAATAAAAATTTAATGTCACAGGTAACGATTACAAAAAATGGCTGCCAACGGATGGTGGTTGGGGCTGGCATGTTGCGAGTACTATATGCGAATGGATTCTCGCGATTGTCTATTGCGCGTTTCTCCTTACTTTTGTTCCGGAATTTCGATTAATTAATTTTGAAGAGCCCGTAGTCACGGTATCTTGATCAATATTATAAAGTAACATTTATTTCATTTATTTTATAAAAAGAAATCACATTTTATTAAAATACAAAGAAAGAACAAATAATTATCGAAATATTTATGTAGGATAAATTGATTAGAATAAAATATCAAAAATGTTTGTGTATGATCATCATATTTAAGCATTTCGCTTAATTATTTTAACAGACCAATAAAATTATTTTTAGATTTCGCCAAATTTTTAAACATGAATGAAAAATACTTATTCAGCAAAAAGTCATTCTTTCTTTATCAATTTTTTAGTTATTTTTTTTTTATAATTCATAATTTTATAAATTTTTAGTATACAAGATGTTCTATCACACACACACACACACACACACACACACACACACACACACACACACACACACACACACACACACACACACACACTAAAAATTCTATAATTAAGAAATTTATTTATATAAATCTTAAAAATATACATCATTCAAAGCAAATAAAGATTGATACATATTTCTGTTTATTTTGGCAGAAGCTTAATGAAATATTTTTAACGATTGCCTAAATAGTTTCTAAAATGTTTCTACAATTAAAATATATAACCAAATGCTATTGGTAAATGTTTATGTCAAATTTATTTAAAAATGGAAATCACCTTTACAATAGATAAACAATTATTTAAATTAACATTATGCACAAAAACTCTTTAAGAATAACCTAGATATTTAAATCATTTTGTTAATTGTATTCATAGAATTTCAAATATTGATAAATGCAGTGTCATTTATGATTTGTAATTTTGAATTAATTATCAATATTCATGCCCTACCTAGTTAATAATTTTGTAGTTCTTTTCCTGAAACGCGATAATCAATTTTGAAAAATAAGACTAATCACTTAGAAGACTATTTACTTAGTCAAAAATAAGACTAATGTAAAATCGTTAGTAATATTTGATGTTTATTATATACATACACTTAAAATATACGTATAGAATTTGTACACGTAATATATATTTGTAATAATCATTATAAAATTAATTATGCATAAGAATAGTTTATAATAATATTAAAAATATGTTTTAAAATAATGCTAATATAAATGTCAAAAGTTTCTAACTATCAGTCTGTCAGTGATATCTGTCTGTCTGTTTTCTTCTCTGAGATTGATTGTCGAATGTTACAAAGAGATATCTACAAAGTGAAAAGCAGGAAAGGTGTGAATACCGATATGTATCTATTTTAACCATAAAATGACAAATCCTAGATTGTATTCCGATTTTTTCTAACAATATTGAAACTCTATAATACCTGACACGAATTACAGATACATTTTCAGCATTGGCAATAATGTCGAAATGATACACAAAGCAGCATAAATTTAATGCAACCTTCTCTTATATAATCCATTATATAATTCATCCAGGCTAAAGTGGGATCATCTTACATACTTCATCTATAGTATCTACATAGTGTTTCTTGAGGCGCATGTTTATTTTGTGTTCAGTGTTCTGAAGTAATGAATTAGTAAAATTCTTATGTATCCATTTCTGTATCTGCAAAATTAACATCGTTATGTTCAATATATATACATTCTGCAAAATCATTAATTTTAGAAAAAAAATTGTAATATGAAATACATGACATTATAATAAATGAAAAATTGTAATATGAAACACATGACGTTATAATAAATAAACGTTATAATAAATAAATTATATAATAACATGTATTCGTTTATGTATTTTTTTACAGGCTATCTAATCATAATTGACAGAGAGCTTATGTATAAATAAAGCCGATTTTACTGATAATAAATAAAAAAATTCTTACCGCGTCGCAAGTTTTGTAACTAATAAAAAGTTATTAATTAATAAAAAGAGCGAATTTGGAGAGGCAGTTCAATATTACGCGCATTTACGATTGTTAGATATGCAATGACATGTTTGGGAGTATGATCTACAAATAATGCAATATTCGTTTATTTGCACGCAGCATTTCCAGCAATAATGAAAGCTATATCTCGTAGGCATATGTTTAATCACGAATTTTTATTATAATAAATGATTTGAATTTATTATAATTAATGATTTATTATTGATTTATAACTCCTTTATTGAAAGATACAAGACTTTCTATCTTGTTTTGACAACGCTACTTGCATACAAATTTGTGTCAGGAAATGTAGAAAAAATCTTTTATATCACACATGAAGATATATCAAGTTTAAGGAAATACTGATTTATTGTTTCTTTGTAAATAAAATAATTTTTTAAATTTGTATGTTGTTTATAATAAATATCAATACACAAACATATTCATTAAAAATTAATAATTTTACCGACTTTCATGAAATAAATAGGAATAAGATATTATTTCTTTTCATGTTACATTTATATGTTATTCATCTAATTTCTTACTCAACAACATTAAAGTAAAATTTTTGTAACATGAAATATAAAGTATAATAAAAAATCGTATTTTAACGTAAATATTGTAATTTAACGAAAATAAACGAAAATACATGAAAAGAACAAGAGTTATTGTGCTTAATAAAACTTACCTCACAGAGTAATTTACTAGAATAAGTATAATTTATAATATTAATCAATGCTACAGTTGTATTAATTTCCCTAGAAAAGAAATTGCACGTAATATAATACAATAAAATAATGTAATAAAGTTTTGATTGTATGCAAATGAAAAATTTGCAATTAAAATATAAAATTTGTGAAAACGTATTATTACTTAGGTTTGACTTTTTCCAAATTTAATAAAAATGTCCAAGTTTAATAAAAATGTAATTGAATAAAGCATCATTTGTATGTCTCTGAAACATAATGAAACAGATTAATATAGAATTTAGTAAGAATGATTGTACTTGCATTGTCTTCTGTAGAAGCAGTCACGTAATCATTTTTGAATGTTTTTAGCGTATAAAGGAAATATATGAGACTAAATATATCATTATAGCAAGCTACAACTTTAAACACATCTAGATCTTTAATTTTCCAAATTTCATCTCAATCTTTAGCTCGTAAAGAGAAGTACTAGATACAGAAAAATTCAAATCCATCATTACAGAATTTCATTCCCTCTACCATGGTAACATTTGTTGTTTATTTTTTCTGAAAGTTTTATCATAAAATTATAATTTGTATTTGTATTTGTATTTTATATTTTTATTTAAAGTATATATATATATATGAATTAAATTCAAATAATTATATTATCAATCACGTACCGTTATTTTTAGCGGATTTGAAACGTATTGATTATCAAATTCAGTACACAAATTTTTGATATCGATTAAAAATTCTTTTCATTATCTACTACATCGAGAAAGAAATAGAATCGTTTACTGTGTTATAAGAACATATCATTTTATTATTATATTATTTTAAATGTATTAAATGTATTATTTTAAATGTATTAAAAATTTCATTTATTATATTAAACATTATATCAATACATTTATAATAAAGTGATATAAAACTTTTTATCTTAAAATAGACTTTTAACGTTAATAATAATTTTAAATGAGGAACTATATGTAAACTATACTTGCGTTTTAGAATACTTCTATATCTTTGAAAAAATACTTAGAATACTTCTACATCTTTGAAAATTATATTTATATAACAAAATATAAATGTTTTTCTATTGATTTATTATATATATTAAAACTGGGTAAATTAATAGATATTTAAAATGGTTTATAATAATTTTTATAATAATTTTCAGTATTATATTTATATTTATCGTTATAAGTGATAGAAAATAGTGTATTCTCTGAATCACGATTTCTCTGCTTCGACAGTTCGTCGAAAAAATGCTAACCGACCGATGATCGTGTCAACAAACATCGATGTGTATAAAGGACATCATAATAAGTAATGAGAAATATCATTATTTATAACTAAATACAGATTATTATTTTTTTGCTCTTATGTACTTAAATATATATTATTAAAATTGATTTTAATACAAATTAACCATGGAAAATGGGTATTAAAATATTTCTTTTAAATTTTATTAACATAAAAATAAAGAAAAATGTAATTAAATGTAAAAGTTTTTAAAATGTCTTCTTATACAGGTAAATATATTATTAATAAATTAATCGTAATTAATATTAATATTTATTATGAATTAAATTGTAGGATTAAACGCATTATATATAAACATTATGATGTAATTCGACTACAGTGCCAATTATAATTTGAAATTTTGAACTAATTATCAATATTCATGCCACTCTTCGTTAAGTAATTCGATTGTAATTCTTTTCGTAAGGTACAATATTCAATTTCGAAAAATAAGATTATTCGACTAGTCAAAGATAAGACTAATATAAAATCGTTAGTATTATTTGACGTTTATTATACACATGCATTTAAAATATACATACAGAAGTGGTTTACGCATCTTAGTATATCATAGTATTATTAATGATTATTATACAATTAACTATGTACAAGAATAATTAGTATAATAATAATATTAATATATTTTTTAAAGTAATGCTAACATAAATGCAAGAAAGATGTGAATACCAATTTGTATCTATTCTAACAATCAACCACAAATTACAATGACAAATCCTAGATTGTAGTCTGATTTTCTTTAACAATATTGAAACTCTATAATATCTGACACGAATTACATTTTCAGCAGTAATGTCGAAATGATACACAAAGCAGCATAAATTTAATGCAACCTTCTTTTAAATAATCCAAAGACTAAAGTGGGATCATCTTCATTTATAGTACATACTTCATCTATAGTACGTACATAGTATTTCATGAGGCGCACGTTTATTTTGAGTTCAATGTTTTGAAGTAATGAATTAGTAAGATTCTTATGTGCCCACTTCTGTATCTGCAAAATTAACATGGTCATGTTAAATATGCATTAAATATACATTTTGCAAAATCATTAATTTCAGAAAAAAAATTGTAATATGAAACACATAACATTATATAATAATGTTATGATATTACTCATATATCAAACATCTATTTGTTTATGTGTTTTTTTACAGGCTGTCTAATCATTATCGACAGAAAGCTTATATGCAGACAAAGATGCAGACGATTTTACTGATAATGTCTAAAAAATCCTTACCGTTCCGCAATTAATTAAAAGTTATTAATTAATAAAAAGATAAGAGCGAATTTGATGAGGCAGTTCAATATTACGCGCATTTACGATTGTTGAAGTATACGAGATGTTTGGGAATATGATCTACAAATAATGTACTATTCGCTTAATTGCACGCATCCACATATCTTGCAGCGTTTTTAGCAACAAAGGAAGCTATATCTCGTAGGCATATATTTATTCATGAATTTTTATTAATTAATGACTTACTAGCAATTGGGGAATACGAAAAACACAGGATCTTTTATCTTGTTTTGACAATGCTACTTGCGTAAATACTTGTATCAGAAAATATAGAAGATTCTTTATATCATACATGAGTGATATTAAGTTATATGAAGTTTTAGAAAATACTGACCTATTGTCTTTTTGTAAATAAAATAATTTTTTAAATTTGTATGTTATTTGCAATGAATAATAATACACATACATATATAAAAAATTAATAATTTTAACGACTTTTATAAAATAAATAAAAATTTAGGTATTATTTCTTTTTATGTTACATTTATACGTTATTCATTTATAGTTATTCTAATTTCTTACTCAACAACATTAAAATTTTTGTAACATTATGACATAAAATATAATCAAAGAATCATAATTTTACGAAAATATATGAAAAGAACAAGAATTATTGTGCTTAATAAAACTTACCTCACAGAGTAATTTACTAGAATATGTATAATTAATAATATTAATTAATGCTGCGGTTGTACTAATCTCTCTAGAAAAAAATTGCATATGATATAATATCATAAAATAATGTAATAAATATTTTCCGTCTTGCAGACGCTTTTCCGTATTCAGACGAAAAATTTGCATTTAAAATTTGTGAAAATGTATAGTTACTTAGACTTGATTTCTTCCAAATCCTTTAATAAAACGACACTGAATGAAGCATTATTTGCATGTCTCTGAATAACATAATAAAACAGATTAATATAGAATTTAGTAAAAGTGATTGTCCTTGCATCGTCTGTAGACACGAAATAATTTCTTAACCACTTTAGATTATCGAAGAGAGATAGAAGATTCTTAATATTATTACAGCAAGCAAGAAGTTTTAACATTTCTAGATATTTAATTTTCGAAACTTTATCCACATTTTTAAATAATTCATCAAAAGAAACGCAAGATACAGATAAACCATTACAGAATGTCCATTCTTTCCACCATGGTAATAATTTATTTTCTCTAAAAAATTTTATCATAAAATTATGATTTGTATTTTTGCATATTTTTATTTAAAGTATGACGTGTATTGCAAATATAGTAAAAATATTACAATAGAAGAATTAATTAATTACGTCGTATTTAACAAATGCCATTGCAATTTAAATTCAGCATATTTCTTGCATTCGCTATCACCGAGAACACATGCCCATCTTAGAGCTTCTTGTCTTAAACATTTAATAAAATTGTCCTCGTTAGATTTTTCCTCGTTTTCAATCTTTTGAAGAAGCGGACCCAGTTGCATTTGTAGTTTCCTCTGAGTATTGTGAAGTAACACAAAGATAACATTAATTATTTAAAAAATTTTAAGCTGAATCTTGTAGACACGTAAAAAATTTTACTTCTCTAAATTAGTTACATCATATCTTTTAGAGAAAGATTTAGATAATTATTAAAAATAAAATATTAATATTTTGGACATAACAACATGAGTTGTTAAAATTTTCTTTACTGAAATCGCTTTTACCTTGAATATTGTACTATCAGTACTATTAAACGGTAGAATGTATGACATGTGCTCAGCAGCTTTGAACATAGAATACCATGGTATATAGTCCGTTTCCCACTTTAGATAGCTTACGACATCCCAAAATACAGAAGAATCTAATTCGCCTGATATTGTTAAATGGAATGTGTCATCGATGATTTGCGCACGATTTAAAGTATTAATATTTGTATAATTCTCAGAATTAAGATACTTTATGATTTTTAACCAACTTTCAAAATTATAAAATACACGGTAGTATCCTGTCATGCGATAAATAAATTATTTGCCATTAAATTGTATTAAATTATAATGTAATTTATATTAATAGAGATAGAATATCATTAAATGTTATTTTTATTTTTAAATGTGACCAAAAATACTATTATTAAGTAATAACTTAGCTTGTATTGAAAACAATAAAAAATTTTGTATTTGGTATTTATAAACTGATATTGAATTTACATCGAATGTTGCGGATATTTCGGTTGATAACTTCTTTACATATAAAATATAAAAATATAATATAAAAAATTTTTATAAAACTTAACTTTTGTTTACAAATATTTCATGTCAGAAAAGATGAATCGAAGAATTTCATCAAATATGTGAGTACGATTATTAAAAAACTGCGTTAAATGTAATTTGTTTAAAAAAATATAATTTGCATTAAGATCTTTAAAAGGAGTACAGGTAATTCTAATTTACTTTAAATATCCAATTTTAAAGTCATATGTTTTATTTAAGAACTCTGCTACAAAAATAAGTCAAGAATCTTTTCTTTTTCATAGTTAAATCTTTAAAATACAAGATGAATAAATTAATGATATTCCACAATAAATTATTTGATCGTGATTTACCTATTTGTTGCTGATTGATTATTATGAACTGACTATGTTCAGAATTGTAGCATTTTTCAAGAAAGTACTGTTGGGTCACGAGCAAAATCATTTTCTTGCAAATCTTGGGTAAAATTTGTTTTAAATTTATATACACTTGACTTCTTAATGGTACCATCCAGTTTTTGGAGGCAGTTTCTAGAAAAATTTTCGTCCATTCACTATTAAAGATTTCCGTTACATTAAGAATAGGATATTGCTTTTCTTGTATCCAAGGATTCATCAAGTCTTTCACATTAAGTTTCTCCAAATCCATAGTTTGTGAATCATAGACAGATTGCATTACAGTCCAAAAATCGTCCAGACTTCCCGTCCTTACAGAAATATATAAAAATTAGTTCTATTCGTGATGTATATTCTATAATAGAACAATACCAGCAGGCAAACATTTTCTCGATATAAATAGCATAAATTTACACAATTAACACAAATTTACACAATTTTTATAATTGTCGAAAAACACGCATTATTAATTCGCATTATTCGCTTAGTTTAGTTCTTGTGGGACAAATGTTCGTGATTTTATTTGCGATAAAGTCTCAACACTGACTGCACCGATTGAATTTTAATTGTGATCATTGAATAACAGATAAATAAATTGTATAATAAAAATGTTTTCAATTTTTATCATTATCATCTACAAACGAAAATACATACATATAATGATATATTCGAAAAATAATTACATTAAATTTTATTGCTGATTAGTCATTGATTCCAAATTTTTGGAAATGAAATTTTCTTTTTATTTTAACACATTTAAATTTTTTCTTATTTCAAGAAGTAAGAAAATATTGGAAAAAGTAATTTTATATATAGTAATATAGTTTTTATACAGCACAAATATAACAAAGAATATAGTAAATTATTATTTACATATAACCTTATCATGCAAAAAAAAATAACTGTAATAAAAAATAATTTATTTGACAAAAGGAAAAGAGAAAAGAAATACAAGGCAAGAAATATACTTACTCTCTTTTCATATACACTTTAATCCCTTCCTGGAAAATTTTATCACCCATTATATGATGTAGCATACGCAATATGGAAGGTGCTATTAACAAATGAGCGTTATAAGATCAAACATACAAGAAATTATATCGACAGTAAATTTATCGAAGTTCTCAGAAATAGATTGAGACTATAATTAAATAAAAATTTCGACGTTCTTAGAATTTACGTATCTGTTTTAGAATATATTTTTACTTATTTTAATGAATAAAAAAAAGTAAATTGAAGTAAAATCTTATTATTGATATAATTCTTAAATAATTTGACATGTGTTAATTGTTTGAACGTTATATATTCAGTATTGTTATACCTTTTATGTAATAGGTGAAAGAAAAAAGAGAATTAATTTCAGAGATACTGTTAACTTCTGAATCAAGAGGATTCATAATATGTGAATCGTCTAGACGGAGAGATTCTTGTTGAGTCTGCACTACGAACAAATCCAACATCCGAGAATCTGGCATAATCTAAATATTACAATATTACAAGTATAGTCATGAAATAAATAATAATTTAATTATCAAATTATTATCATTAGACTAATAACCATTAACAATATCAATAAATTATTAAAAATTTTATAAATGATTTCACATGAATGCGATAAAATTCTTTATGTTTGACTTAAAATAATCGTTATAAATAATTATTAAAAATATTAAAAGAATATTCTTTTTCTTCTTATATGCTTTCAAATATAACTTATATCAGTTTTATTTAAAAGTATTATTACAGACAAGAGAAAATACCTGATTGATTATGTACACGCCGAACAACGTAGCAATACCCTCATTCAACCACATGTAAGACCACCGTGATGGATTAACATTACTAAACAATTGACCTATAACTTTACGTCCTATTATACGTGATAACTTTATTTGACATGCAATGGGATCTATTTCTTCATTGTAAATAATATCTTCTTCTCTGAAAGTAGCAAATGAACAATGTGTTACATCTCTGTTACAAATTCATATTACAAAAATAATAAAATAATTACCCTGCCATTTTTTATTATTAATAATATTATCTACTACATATAATATTTTCCACGTTTTTCTATTCTGTAACTGTTTTGCTATAAAAGTATAAAAATTAATTTTTTTAAATGCATATTCTACCTGTAAAGTACGAATTGAAATTTATCCATACCACCATCTATCAAACCCGTTATCGCATATTGATTTGTCATTAAAAATCCTTCTGGTGGTTTATATTTAATCAATCGATATTCAACCATGATTATGACATCTTTAATTAATTGTAAAGTTTGATTCCACCATTGCATTTTCATTGACTCCCTGCTCCATAAGTTATGGTTTTGTATGAGAGAAATATTAGTACAGTCATTCTTATCAAATATTACAATTCCTATTCGGTACGCGAGTATTTCAGAAGTTGTGGCAAAGAATGACAACGCCAAAGACAATGTTTCTGATGTAGATATATTAAGTAAAGCTATGTTTGAAAAAACATTGTAATGTTCAGCATGCCATATAGCAATAGTAAATTTAGCTTTTAGTCCTGGTTCATCCCAACATGGAAAAAGACGTCGCATTCCTGTCGCTGAGTTATTTATTACAATAAGCCATCTAACATATTTAATTAATTTTATTAGTATATTGTAAAATGAGATAATTCCTTATTTTTCAATAGCATTGGAAACTAATACAGAAACTGAGGGGGTAGCGAATATATTTTAATAGAAATATTTTTTTCAGTTATATTTTAGTATAAGATATGCCCTTTCTTTTTATTACATTTTTACAGTTTTATATACTTATTTTATTATGTCCGTATATCTAGAGATCATGAATAAATGTTGAAAGAATAAATGTTCAAATTAAAAATTCTATTTTATATACGCGGCCAATATTTACTAAATAAAGAATTTATTTAGTAAAATATCTTTAAGAAAGGACTAATATTATATTGTTTTGTATTGTTATTTTTATATTGTTATTTTCATAACTTTTTGCAGAATGTTTACTCGCTAAGTACATGTTTTGTAACAAGACCATAGTCTCTTCCAAAACTTTATAAATATTATAACGTTACTTTATGAACATATTACAATTAACTTTCATTATCATGCAACATAAGTCATTGTGAATCATTAATTTCCAGTAATTAATAGATTTTTATATAACGATTATATAACATAATAAGTATGTTTGCACAAATTTGCTCTAGATATTATGAGTGAATATTAATTTTAATTAATTGAGGGACATAAATAATAGACATATTTTCTATATTATTACATAATATTTTTAATGTAATATGTATATTTTCTTACTCACTTTTTATCTCCTGTTGCATTTCTATAAGATGTCTTGACAAATCCTCCATCAGTAGCAATAAAACCTTTATACATTATGCGCAAAGTATATTTACCAGGATATAGGATGTCAACGAAATTCAAGACGACAATTTGCAGTTCGTGTATATAAGTAATATTACCGGTTACATACATTGTTATATCTTCATCAATAATTTTACTTAATGTGAATTTATTTATTTCTAAATTTGCTAAATGCAGGCTTATCTTTTGTGTAGTTCTAGAAATCATAATGCTAATATCACATTCTCCGTAGAAGATATCCTTTTCTAGATCTAATGTTAGTTCAATTTTGTATTTTTTTGGTATTATAAAATCAGGCAACAGAAGACTGGCATGTACTGTTGCAGACGCTATATAAGCATATGTAGCGTTGGATGTGATTTTCTCAGTTTCTGTTATTTCCGACCTTCTGATTCTGGTAGTTTGTGGTCTGTTTGTTTGCTCGTTACTTATTTTAGATTTGTCGAATACATTTTCTTTATGTTGATTAAGAGCCGCAACGTAATTTAATATTAAACTTCCATATAGTAACACTTTTATTAATTCGATGATATTCATCTAAACAATTTTTTATTTACAGAAATATATTTTTTATAAGAAACAGTAAAATTATATTGTCGAAATTTGACTTTTGCAAAATCAATAAAAGTGTAGTTATAGACTCTTTTATTGGTAAGTTTATAATCACAACAGAAAGTACAAAAATAACTGAAAAAAATCTGTCTCCTCAAAAATAGGATTTTAAGTTCTAAATATCATATATCTATATAAATTAAATTTAAATAATTATATTATCAACCACGTATCATTATTTTTAACGAACTTGCAATGTATTGATTCTTAATTTCAATATATATTTTTGATATCGATTAAAAGATTCTCTTATTATCTACATTAAAAAGAAATAGAATCGTTACTAGTTTTATGAAAATGTATCATTTCATTATGAACTTAAAAATTATATCGCCACATCTATAATAAAGTGAAATGATATTTCTTATCTTAAAAGAAACTTTTGACGATAATTTCAAAGGACAAATTATGCGTAAACTATACTTGCGTTTTAGAATCCTACTTTTTAAAAAAATTATATTTATATAATAAAATATATAGATATTGTTTTATTGATTCAATTTATTATATTTCAATTATGTATTGAACTAGTGTAGGCTAATTGATATTTAAAATGGTTTATAATAATTTGTTCAAGTTGTAGTTACCTTCAGAAGTGATAAAAAATGGTGTATTATCTGAATCACGATCTCTCTGCTTCGACAGTTACAAAGTAATGATCGTGCCAATAAGCATAAATACTTATAAAGGACATAATAAGTAGTGGGAGGTATAAATATAACATATTATCACTTATAACTAGATTCAGATTACAATTATTTTTTTGCTCTTATGTACTTAAATATGTATTAAAATTGATTTTAATACAAATTTAACTAACGATAAAAAATAAAAAGTAAAATTATTGATGAACATATAATCAATATCAAATGTATATTGAAATATTTCTCTCAAAATTTATTAAAAATAAAGAAAAACGCAATTAAAAAGTAAAAATTTTTTAAATGTCTTCTTACATAAGTAAATATATTATTAATGAATGCATGATAATTATTAAGTTTTATTATAGGTCGTAAGATTAAGTAAAGATTATGTTTATTAGATGATACTTCCCTATATTGAAAATATAAGGAACGTTCCATATGTTTTATATTTAATTGCATATGAATTATATTGTTTATTGGTAACAAAATAGTTTCTATATTGAGGTGGGACACACACACACACACACACACACACACACACACACACACACACACACACACACACACACACGTATAACACACGGCGGCCACCGTATACGCGGTGTGTTAGCCGGCCATGGCCGAAAAAAACCGTACGCGCACTAACGACTCACTAAATTTCATCGTGCTCGTACCCCGCGGCGCCGTCTTGCTTTTTTAATTCGTTTCGCTTTTATTTCACCTCCTGTAATTCTTTGCGATTTTTTCGCGTCGCTTTTGCGGCTTGCTCGCGCCGTCGTGCTCGCTTCTGGCCAACCGCCTTTCGCTCGCTCGTTTCGCACACGTGGACATATTCGTAGGATCTTCTATTTGAAATGTTCCGAACGTGGCTGGGTTACACCCGAGAGAAATTTGATGTAAAAAAAGTTTCCAAAATTTTTAACAATAATTTAGAAAGAAAGGCTCTCCCAGAGAAAGAGTTTTCCATTGTGTTCGTTAAAGTATTTGATATTAAGAGAATTACATTCCGAGAGTGTAACCATCGATTTTTATTATAAGGAGAATTTAGGTAAATGTATGTTGCCAAGAGAATTTAGGTAAATGTAAATTGCCAAGAGATCCGTCATTACAAGTATTTTCCTAACGTTCTACGGTAATAATAAAAGATATTATTTACTTCATAACTTGAATTACGCTTTCCCTTTTTTGTTTTCTTTTTCTTTAAAGAATATTTGCTTTTCCACGGAATTACATTGGATGCCTTAGTTTCAAGATCTAAAAGAAATATCTAGAAGGACATTTACATTTAGCATCCCACGCGACTGCAAAAAGTCGCGATGCAACTTACTCGTAGTCTTCCAAGCAAGAGAGACATCTTACTTTGGAAAGCACACACAAAACGCGACTAATGCAATTTACGCTCGCGAGGCAATGTGGCACAAAAAGATCTTCATCGCGCCGGGGATTACCGCGCTGCCTCGTATCGTCTGTTGTTTGCAACATCTTCCGCCTTTCGCACGGGGAAAACGCAGCGCCGTTGTTGCTAACATTGTTTAGTTTTTTTCTTACGAGTGATCTTGTTTTTCGCCCTTCTGAACTTTGAAAGTCTCGCCGATCTGCGAGTGAGAGGAAAAACGGAAAAAATTCCGCTTCGCCATTATGAAATAAAAGTAGCCGCAAATTTCAATGACCGTCCTCGGCAGGGAAAACCCAGAGCTTCCTGATATCGCGGCGCGCCAAAGCTTTGTTCCATAAACTGGGATACGCGTTTTGTCGTGAAAATAAAGGCTGAGAGGCGGAACGAAAATTCAACCTGGCCATTTTTGAGTCGCGCGCGCGCGCGCGCGCGCGTGTGTGTGTGTGTGTGTGTGTG